TTTTTTTGCTTTAACTAATGCTGTTATCGCCCTACTGTACTGATTCTGTTTGTACCTTCCAGTGCTGTATTTGTTATAAATATAGGGCAGTGTTTATGATCAATAATTTCTTATGTGTCCCCCAATATTTCTTATTGGTCCTCGCAATAGCCAATAAAAGCTAATGCAATGGGCAATGGGTTTAGGTGTTAGCATAAAATCAAAGTTAGCTGGCAAAAGAGCTTATAAAGGTGTGCAATTTGCCACTTGCCGCAGTTACAAGATTGGAGTGAAATGACACTGTTTTGAACGAGAGAAATTAAAATGAGCTTTCATTTCATGCTTGGGTATTTGATAGGGGTGACATGAGACATCTCTTTAGGTCATTCAATTATTCGATGCTCTTTAGGCTAATTTAAAACCACTCCCTCTCTCCTACCAAAACACCTCATATTTCAAGAGAGTAAATATCAAGCAAGCCTTTCCATGAACCTTCTCTTATAAACAATACTCCTTCGTCACATTTTAAATTGCATGTTTTCTTTTTTTGTCCGTACTAAAATAAGTTGCATGTTTTTTATTATAGTAAAATTTTAAAGATAAAATACCTAAATCACCTCTAAATAAGTCACTCTTCTCCATCTTATCTTCTCATTCATTGTCACCCCCTAAAAAAGTAAGGGCATTTTTGGAAAGTCAATACTATTTTTTCACTTGCTTAAATATGTCCCAAATTCAAAACAGACAATATAAAATGTGATGGGACGGAGGGAGTAAAAAATTACTCCAAATATGGATGAGTTTCTAGTTGTGGTTCATCACAAGGTTAGTGGTGATCCCATGAAAACCAAGTTGTTAGGTGAGTCGAGAGAATCTATCACACACAAAGGCGAGTTGCTATGGTGCCCTCGTTGACTAGTATACAATTATTAATTTATAAAAAAACATGTAAGAAGATGGCTCGAATGCCCTTTCACCAGAGGGTTGAAAGACGATATAATCTTAAATCTAGAATAAAAAATGTATAGGTGACTACAAGAGCTATCCTAAGAGTGAGAAAAACACACAAATGTCCTTAAAGTTTCAAGCATCCCATCTAGGAATTATAAATTGATTAATAAATAGTCCTTCGTCGCACAATATGTAACGTACCAAAAGAGAATCTACTTTCTCTTTTTTGACTTTGTAGAAGTCTTCTCAAAGGAACTATCTTCTTCTTCGTCTTCAGAAGAAATGCCTTCCGGCTCATCAGGGACATCATTTGGAACATTATGCCTTGTGATGTAATCCTTTAATATACTCATGCTCTGTTCTTTCATTGAGACCAGTTGCGTAGATACATTTCCATTGTTCACCACAACAAAATGTGCTTCTGATCCAAGACGAAGGGTCGCTTTAACTTGTGGACAAAAAACTTCTTGCATTTGAGCATCTTCCATGTGGGTCAGAAAATACCTAAACCATTCAAGTTGTTAGCCTTTCATGCCCAAAAAATGCCACAACTCATTTTTCTCTGTCCTATAGTTTTATGACATGGACTCAAATATTTTACTTTAAGGGCATTTCAACAAAGAATGTCTTTAGGCAAATTCAAAACAATTAATTTATTACTTAGGTGTCCGGGCTTTGGTCGACTACTCCTAGGACCTATGAGCCACACTCTCAGGCTCAATCAGCATGCAATGTGAAGTGCAGCATAAATCCATACACTGGAATAGTGGAATTTATACAGAAAAGCTTTTACAATTTCTGTGTAGAGCTCCCATGCCAAAGGAATGAAAAAAATATATTTCTTAGCGTAAAAGAATGGTAAACATCGCCAATTCATAAAATGTTGAATCATTATTTTCATTAGAATAAAGAGTACTTTCACATTGCTGACAGAAACAATAGCTGGATTTAATGAAGCTAAGAACAGAATTACCCAAAGTCCCAAACAGGTTGCGTGCACACTTAACAGTGAAATACATATACATGTTGATTCCATTGAATCCCCTTTACTCTAGCTTTGGCCTTTTCTCTTCTCTTATTGTTCAATGGTTCAACCCCTACTAAGGCTACTATATATCTACTCACTCGTAAACAATCTCACTTCTTACCATCAGGTTTTACCATACTAGATGAGTCCCCTATATTCTATATTTTCATCAAAGCTTCAGTAAACGCATGTTTGCTTTTCTAAACTTAAACACAAGATTGCTTTTCTAAACTTACACATGGCTGTAAATATAACCTGCAACTTGTAATCCCCTTGCACTTAATGTTTGCCTACAACGTCTACAGCCCTTGTTGTCTTAACCCCCTTCCATTCAAGTTAACGTTTCTCTAAATTAAAGAGCTTAACACGATCAATAGCATTGATATATATATATATATATATACACACACACACACACAGAGAGAGAGAGAGAGAGAGAAACCATTGTCTGCAAATTACTATCAAATGAAAGCACAAACTAGATACAATCATAACCATTTTTTTTGGTGAGTCCTTACCGATGGGAAGATTTGATTACTTGTACAGATTTTCTCTTAGCTTGGATGTTATAGGTAGGGTCCGCGCACACCCACTCACCCCCACTATGTAGCACTGAAACGGCGACGGGGACGGAGACGATATGAAACGGAGACGCCGAAATGGCTATTTTTAAAAAATGGAGAGACAATGCTGAGGAGACGCCGAATTTATATATAAACAAGTATATTTATATATAACTAAATATATCTATATATAAATAAATATATTTATTGGACAACATCTGTGGGACTTCACTGACTTGTTTTGTTGGTTGTTAAAATTGAAACAATCTTTTCCCAAAGATAAGAGAAATACTTTCAAAAATATTATCTTTGAGTAACAATTCTCAGAAGTTGCAAACAAGAGAGAAAACTTAATAGGAAATACTGCTATTTATTTGGGAAAGGATCTTTTGAGTTTTGACATTGATTACCAATGACATAATATAACCCTTCTGCCGCCACCCCCACCATAGGTGTCCTGGGTCATATTATTACGTTGATAATTGTTAAAGAGTATCTCACATCGGAAAAGTGTGAGAAAAATAATGGGTATATAAGCTCTTGAGTTGAACTAAGTAATCGATTGGATTCAATCTTTTAATGTGGTTCAGCCCAAGTGTCTTATAGCCAGTCCAGTTATCTCTACCCAATTCTAAATCCTATCAATAATCAATACCAAAAGAACCGTGGTGTACGAAGTATTTACTAATTGGAGAATTTTCCAATTTTTGGAAACATTAATTTGGAGAACAAGATGGATCTACATATATCCTTCTTATTGTTTGCTTGTGGTTTAAGCTGCTTAAAATAAACCAAGTTTTTATTGTCCGTATATGTAGTTTCAGCTGCTTAAAATACGCAATGCGCAAAAATTTGATGTTGCTTGCCAAACACTAAGATTGTAATAACTGCTTAAAATAGGCCGAATAAATAAATAATACGGAGTATTTCTAAAACACTTCTTAACTACTTGCTCAAGGGAGTAGGTTTCCATTTTTCTCTTTACAACAATACAACAGTTCAAAGATAGATGGATCATCACCAAAATGACCTATTGAATAGAATGAATATGTAGTTCCCATGGCAGACCCAGGAATTTTGACCCATCGGGTCCCGTGTCTAACTATATGAGATTGCAGGATGAGGCGAATAAGCACTTAAATCCAAGTTATCTAAACATATGGAGTATTAGATTGCAAGGTGAGGCAAAGAATTATATAAATATATGCTAGAAGGATCCTCAAATGTAAAACTAAACTTCAATTTTCACACCCTATGCCAACATGCTATAAATTTTGTGATATACCTACAACTCAATTATTCAAAGGCATATTTTAATCCAATCAACAACCAATCAAGCACAATTAATATAGGAAATTAGGAATCAAAATTTAATTTTGTTCATACACTGTGTATGGTTAATTTTTTTTCTTTCCGCTTTTGTCTTATTTTCCTCTCTAATCTAACCAAACAGGAAAATTTGTTATCCATCTCATTTTGTTTTCTTTTCCCTTTCAAATTCCTTGGACCAAGCATAGTGTTTAGGGTTGCGAGGGGCAAATTTCCTCCTAATTATTTACTTTTATCAATCACTTCCGTTCTAGTAAAATTAAACAAATCTAAGCACAATTAAGAGTTTAGTAATTAAATTAATGAAAAATAACTCAAATTTTATATTAAAAACAGAACTAATCACGACTTTGAAGTTAAAAAATCCACAAATTACAAATGCACCCATGCAACACAAATCATAATTAATAAGTACGCAGTATCTAACATAATTAAACAAATACCTTGAAGTAAAGAGGCTGTTTCCCAGAGGTCAAATCACATACTATTATAAACCATACGTAGTAATTGATCATTTAAAAAAATAAATAAAAAACTAATTGCGGAGACATGGGGTATTTAGGGTTTTAAGAAAACAAAATACCTGGAGGCGAAGGACCAGAGGAGCGAGGCAGACAGCTGAGGCGGAGCACTGTGTGCTGCTGGCTATGGCGGAGGAGCGGGGCGGAGGAGCGGGCGGAAGGTTGTGGTCCAGACTTCTCTGACCCTTTTATTCGTTCTAAGCTTTGGTTAGGGAATTAGGGATGATAACGACGCCGTTTTTACGATGATCTCATTAACCAAAAGACAACTCCATTGAAAAGTCAAAAGACGGTCTTTGATAGCTTCTAGTAAAACAATGTTGTATTACAAATATGACAATCGGTAAACTACCCAATATATACTAAAATTTGTTATAATGTAGCATATATACCAATAAATACCGAAAGATATTTTAGTTAAATACGTATATAATCATAAATTCTGGGAAGCTTTTTTATACACAACATTCATCGTATGATCCAAATGATTATTTTCTTCGTCGCAACTCAAAATCTTCAATCCTTTTCCATTTGTGACACGTGAAAAAGCCACATAAAGTTTACCATGAGTAAAGACCGATTTTTTAAGAAGTACACATGATGGATACCCTGGAATGGGGGTATTCGGCCCAATAGGAATAGCGGCCCAACCCAGTTAGAATCATGCCCGCTCAGCTGGGCGGAACTGAAGAAATTGAAGTCTCAAGGGGGTCTGCTGCATCGAGACT